GCAGCCGCAGCGCCTGCACCTCGAAAAGCGGTTATCAGTGCCGACCACTACTTTGGGATTGTTAACCGCATTGTTGCCAGGCTGCAGTCACTGGGGGAGGCCAGCCCGCCATCCCGTGCGGAGCTGGTGACTTGGTACATGGAGCAAGTGCGCTCCCTCAATAAATCACAGCTAGAGGCGGAGTTGCGTTACGTGAACCTCGTCATTCAAAAGATGCTGAAGGATGGAAATCTGCTTGAGGTGGAGGTCCAGGATGGGGAGGGCGAAAAGATCTTCCTTGACCCCAACTACAACCCCGACGTCACACAACAATAACAGCCCGTAGTTGAGAGCACGTGCCTTGTGTGGGTGTGCCTGCCGGATTGCTGCTGAACGTATTTGGTGCACTGTGGGCGATAACGAGGAATGTCAAGGCCAGTACAGGCGGCAACCACGCTTACAATCAAAAGGGACGCGGAAAACAATGGGACTGTTGTTGCTGTCTGCACCAAAAACAAAACAAAGAGAAAAAGGTAATAATGGCTCCGAAGAAAGTGTTGTGCTTCGGGGAAACTGCCTTTGTGTGAGTGTATGTGTCTGCGTGAGTGGGTGGCGCCCTTCTTCCTCTCATTTTTTTTTCCGTTTTGATTTTTGCTCCTTTCTCTCTCCTTGTGAGGTAGGGTGTGGGTTGAGTTTTGTTCTGTCGCCAGCACTTGCTGGCCCGCGACTACCGCACGCGGGGGATGTCTCATTCTCAGCGTCACGTGGATGCCACGCAGGTTGTGGTGCCTGCGGCTGGGGAAAGGTTTGTCGCCGAGGACGGCACCGTCTCCGTCGTGCTGGGCGACACTGTCGACGCCGACTACGAGCCCACGCAGGAGGAGGTTGAGGAGTTTGCCGAGTGGATGGGCATGCACCTCCCAGCGGACAAGGAATTTCTGCACATCGCGCGGGAGGGGTTGAAGGCGCCTCTGCCGGAGTACTGGCGGCCGTGCCGCACCAACGACGAGGAGATTTACTACTTTAACTTTAGGACGGGTGAGAGCACGTGGAATCACCCAATGGATGAATTCTTCCGCCAGGAGTTTCTCAAGGCGAAGGAACAAAAGCGGACGGCCACAAGTGCTGCGTCCGGGGTTCCAACGCCCGTCGCTGTCACCGCGAAGATCACCTCGAGCGGTGTTCTGGGCTTGGGGGATGGTGCTGGCCCGGTTGGCATTTTGAAGAGGCCCCTAGCGGAGCTGGTGGGCGGCGTGTCGGTCCCGACGGCGCACGCGTTCGTGCCTGCGTTGGGCGCCTCGCGGTCACTTGTGGGCGGCCTGACGAATTCCTCGCGGGAGGCGGCATCTGTCGATGCTTTTAAGCAGGCGACGACTACCGTGACGGCCTCTCAGGGCGGCGTCGAGCGGCGAATTGTCTCTGAGGCGGAAAAAAACCTTGAGGAGAAGCTCCGCCTGGAGCGCGAGGCGGAATTCAAAGAGGAGGAGGAGAAGGCGGAGGCCGCACACGAGGCACGACTGCAGGCGATGCGTTGCACCCATGCAGCGGAGGTTGAGAAGCTTAAAGCGGAGTGCGAGGCGAGGCAGGCGGCGATAGATGGCCACGCTGTCGTGGAGGCGGTGACCCCCGTTGGAAACGAGCGAGAGGCGTTGGAGCGAAAGTGGAAAACGAGCCTGAACCAGGCGCTGCAGGAGGAGAAGGAGCTGCAGCAGCAGCTGGTGGGGCTGGGGGAGCGGCATCGAGAGCGTCT